TTTAGGGTTCGGGGTTTAAGGTGTAGGGTTTAGGGTTTAGGGTTTAGGGTTTAGCGTTTGGGGTTTGGGGTTTAGGGTTTGGGGTTTAGGGTTTGGGGGTGGGTTTAGGGTTTAGGGGCATGGGACTGAGGAAGGGGTTGAGGGGTTTAGAGTTTAGGGTTTTAGGGGGTTTAGAGTTCAGGGTTGTCGGGGTTTACAAACCCTAAAGTCTAAATCTCTAACCCCTAAACTCCTAAACCCTAAACTCTTACCCCTACTTGTAGCCCGTAAACCCGAAACCACGAAGCCTGTGCTGGAGGCAGAAATTGAAGGTGGTCTTTGATCTCACCAAGCGCCTGAGCTCCGAGGCAAGCTCCTGTGTGCTTGCGACATGCTGACTAATGACAGGCATGAGCAGTGATGCCATTCATTATGTGAAGAACTAGAATTGGGACCCAAGCCTTAAGCCTAAACCAAATACAAAACTACGAAACTGGCCGTGCAGGTAGAGGCACAGTCGGGGTATGCCTTACAGAAGGCCTGATGAGCAGAGCAGCACTCTGGCCAAGAGTGGGCAGTTTTGGAACATCTACACCGGAAGCGGGAACCGATCTCAGATCGGAGCAACTACTTTCACCTCGGGGAGAAAGGAGTATGTATCTAAGGTGGTTGTATTGGCACTAGGCTTCAGGCAGGTACGTGCTTTCTTGCATCAAGAAGCCGCTAACGGTGTGCATTCTGGGACCATGGATGTGGAACCGGTAGCTGCACTGATGTGCAACTTGGCAAACTTCAGCACTTCTAGCAGGCTTTTTTTCTCAAACACAGTGCTGCGATTGGTGCGAAGAGCTTGACAGCTGAGCGGGTGCGCTTGAGAGAAGCGTCCTCTCACTGGACCTAATCTCGTCTGAAAGGCTACCGCCGGGTGCCAGCCCCATTTGAACTTCGACGTTTTTGACACAAGCAACATCAGGAAACTGTCAAGAGAAATCAGTCCACGTAGCTGTGGGATGCTGAAAGCTAAGCCTACGTAAACCCCAATGCTTCAGCAGCAGCAGAAGGATTGCACCAACGAAGGGGGCTTATAGCAGCGTAGTGGAGTGTGCACCGCTTCTGAGGGGTTGCGGTGAATTCGACAGCTCCTCTCCACTCCCCTTTCATCGCTGAGGTGCTAAGGCGGCATTAGCACGCGTGCACACACACACAAAGGGCCATGTACATACTTCTTATATTATTACAACACTTGTGTATGCATGTATATTTGTGTGTATGTATGTCTGTATGTATGTCTGTATGTATGTATGTATGTATGTATGTATGTATGTATGCAGGATTGTATGTCTGTATGTACGTATGTACGTGTGTAGCTTGTTTCCGTATCTGTCTTGTCTACCTATGGCCTGTCTGGGTTTGTAATTGCATACGTATTTATACATATAATATATATACATATATATGTATCTACACATGTATGTATGTATGTATGTATGTATGTATGTATGTATTTTATATACTCACATCTACATACAGGCATATCTAGGTTCTGCATATGCAGACATACGTACGTGATCGTACGTGTTGACGCACGAATGCATGTGTGTACCTGCGTATGCATGCATCCATGGGTGCATGCATTGCAGGCATGCAGGCATGTATCACTAGTCAGATGGTCGTAAAGCTTCAGTTGTATGCCCTGATCCCTTACCCTGTTATCGTTGCTCACTCACGACAACCCTGTGATTACGCGGAGCTGGACTGGTCATGCTTCAATGACTCGGGTGAGAGCCTTAAGCCTCAGGTCAAAACCAATCCACAAACCACAATCCTGAGGCCCCCAAACAATTACTCCGACTTGCAAAAGTCCATCGTGAATTTCAATCTCAGTCCAAAATCCCAAGCTTAACATGAAACAACTACAGCCCCCAAGCCCCGAACAACTAAGCCGCATTGCCCTAAGCCCCAAACCCTGAAATCGCATGTAGGCTCAGCCTGGTAAGGACTTCTGTGGGACAAGGGCCCATAAAAAAGAACCCTGAAATAGATTTCTCAATATTCTTCACATGCCCAGTCTGCTCCAGTGCTGAGCCGGGTGTGGCTTTGTAGATCTGCGCGCCGCAGATCTTTGGACAAGTAAGTAGCCGTTAGCAATATTAGTAAATGATGCAGTAAGAGTAGGCTTAGAGAAAACACGGGCGCGGCCCCTAAACCCTAAGCCCTAAACACGAATGAGTACCCTAAACCCTAAACCCTAAACCCTAAACCCCTAAACACGAATGAGTCGATTAGGATTCCGGCTCTAGGGTTGTCTGTTGTCGGATTTGGGGATGATGATTGTCAATATGGGGGCCTAAATCATTACCTATACTACTTTGGGGGCTCCCTGTTATAATTATAGTATAAGGGGGCCCAAAACCCTATTCTGATAATTCAGGCCCCTACATTATTATGGAAATAGTGTGAATACCTGCCAATAACAAACAAGTCAACAGCAAAGCAACAGAACGCCACAGCAGCAACCAACGTCATAGTCACAAAGCAGGGGCGACAAATGGAGCGAGACCAGAAATCAGTGACACCAAGTAGAACAATGTAGCAGTACCAGAAACATCCCCTACTGCCGTCAACAGTAAGCCTCATCAACCAATGGAATGCTCAGGGTCACAGCAAGCAACACAACAATCTGAACTACGAGATTAAGAAACAGACCGGCAGGACGATCGAGACTAATGATAATGCTTCTCAGAAGTGACAGTAGCCAGTAGCAGGTAGGAGTAGCATTAGTAAGATCAGTGCTTGGTTACCCGTGAGAAGCAATGCCACTGATGATGACTGGCAGTTCATACTGCCATGAACACCTGCTGCAGGAGTACTAGTATCAGAAACAGCAATACTCACAGCAACCACACAGTGCGAGCTGTCAGCAACAGAAGCACTAGCAGTAGCAACAGCGCTGCCGCACAAGGCCTGCTAGTAGCAGCAATAGTTGCAGCAGTAGCGAATACTTACTACTACTGAGTGCAGTAGAAATAGCGGTAGCAATTGCAACAGGAATGCCAGCATTCCATAGACCGTCACCAGTAGCAATACCACCATGTTGAGAATACTTACAAGAAGATCTCCGTGTATGAGGATCACGCTCACGATAAACGGGGCACACGCAATTCTAATAACAGTCAAACTGAGAGGAGAAAGTATCCGAGTCAAAACAAGAGTGAGAACAGCAGTCGAGACAGGTTCTACCAAGTATTGGACCACGAGCCAAGAACAAGGGCACCACACCCCAGAATGTGTGCACCACCATGAGTAACTAACCGCAACTAACCACAGCAACCACAACCAAAATCTCGCCACCAACACCACCAAGAAGTTCCACTAAGGCAGCTGTTAGATACCAGCTGACGGGAGTTATCCAGACGTGGTATCGATATGTTTAAAATTGGCTCGAGTCTTGTTGTTGGGCACTCAACCCTAAACCCAACTGCGATTATCGCGAGGATGTATAATATCACAAATTTCTCAGAACCTGCAGGGATACTATTTGGAAATTACCCAGGCCCCTATATGGGAGTTTCCGAACATAGGGACCCTTATATAGTACCCTAAATAGTAGGACCCTTATTGTAAGGACCCCCCAAATAAGGTACCCCTATTTTCGGAAACTCCCATATTAGAGCCGGAAGAAGATTCCAGAGAGATCTGCCGACTTTGAACCCAGGCTCGGCAGTGTCAATACTTTTTGTAAAGAGTCTCCGCGACCCCGCAGCAAAGGTTGGGTTTGAGGGTTCAAGTTTAGGGTTTAGGGTTTAGGGCTTTTCGGGTTTAGGGTTTAGGGTTTAGGGTTTAGGGTTTAGGGCTTAGAGAGTAAAACCGGACGTCTTTGTCTTGCTGTTGGTGTCGTACCTGCTGCCAGTGCACTAATTCCGTGCACGAGGGCACAGGAAGCCAAAAGGCTCAGCTTCCATGAACTTGAAGAGTCCTTATTAGGGTTTAGGGTTTAGGGTGTAGGGTTTAAGGTTTAGGGTGTAGGGTTTAGAGTTTGGGGTTGGGCTGTTGGCGAATCTGGCCCGCAGCACTTTTTTAAGCGCTGCGTGGTACTTGGGCGACCGACAGAGAGGGCCATGAGTGGCCGCAAAGCGGTTGCACATGCTGAAAAGGCTATGCAGATATTTACCAAAGCAGCACAGCTCGGCTACCTTGGCAAGCTGTGCGAAAGAGTCCGCGAAGAGAGGGACTCCCCACAGATTCACCAGCCTGCGCATGCCTACTGCAGATGCTGGGCGGGGCCTCCACACTTCTCCCTACGGGAGTCTACGCTGAGTCAACACAATGATGAGATTGCTGCTCCGCCCCTCCCAACATTCCGCACCCTCTCCTAAAGAGGTTGCCTCTGTATTGAACCCTACAAAGAGAATGGGGTCCGCTTGCCAATGGCATTTTCCTGTGGATGTGAATTCCATCTGCCGATGGAAGAGCTGGCATTTTGGGAGTAGCCAGCTTATGCTCCGCCATGAACAGGGAACTCATCAACGAACAACTCCGAATTTCGACGGCAATCTTTGCAAAGTAGACACCACCCGTTTTTCCTTGATTGCTCCCAAACATGTCATCAACCTTGACCTGAAAAGGTTGAGTTACGACGGGAGTAGGACACGACTTCAGCCCTTTTGCTCTGAGCATACTGGTTTAGCCGTGCTGCCAGCTGGCGCAGGGAGCTTAGCAACCTTGTGTCTTGACAGTGGGTAGTTCTCTAAATCAGGGTCCCTGTTTGAGGTCCCCAATGTAGTACGGCACCCCTTAAAAAAGGACCCTACAAGGGACCCTATTTTAGAGAACTACCCCAGTGTTGTATCTCCTTTGCTTTATGCCGTGTTGCGTACACCGCCAAGGTCGAGGCAGACATTTTGATCTCGAGGCTGACCCTGAGGGCAGTAGCCATCTGCCACTTCCAACCGCAACAGAGCAGGGAAAAGTGGTTTAGGGTTTAGGGTTTAGGGTTTTAGGGGTGGCAGAACGCCTTCTCTCGTTCATGAGGGCTGGGAGGTTTGGCGAAGCTGCACCTGGCTTCTTATCTTACTGTTGCCACAGGCTAATGCGAATACTGAAACCCCTGCTCGTACTACGAGTGGCCAAAACCGTCGTTAGGATACACTCTGTTGAATCAGAGTTGTGACAAGGCGGAGGACGAATCATGGTCATGATTGCTATACCAGTGCGGAAGATGATGATGCTGCTGACCACTGCGAAGGATGAATAAGATGATGCTGATGCTCGTCATGATAGTGATGACAGTGATGGCGGTGGCCAGTCCGATGAGGTAATCATCATGCTTGTGATGGTGATGATGATGGGCAATATAGCGCTGATGATGGTGATGTTGATGATGACGTTCGTGTTGTTTGTGTTTGTGCTGATGATGATGTTGATGAAGATAGTGAGGGCAACTAAGTTGAAGCTGAGAGTGATGCAGACAACGGTGTTGACGATGCTGCTGCTGCTGTTGTTGATGTTGTTGCTGCTGTTGTTGTTGTTGTTGCTGTTGCTGTTGCTGTTGTTGCTGTTGTCGGCAGTGATTCAGAGATGGTCAGCTAGGCGACTTGTGTGGAGTCGTCAGACGTAGATGTGTGGAGTGGATGCAGACATGAAGTATATCATGGTATAATATAATATATTCTAGGATGCTATGTTGTTTTATTGTATCTTGTCATACGCTATGCTATGTTATTGTACCTTATTGTAGTTTATATAGTATACTATAGTTTATAACCGTATAGTCTCGTATAGTATAGTGCATTAGAGTACATTATAGTATATGATCGTATATTATAGTACATCATAGTATTTTATAGTATGCTATAGTATTTTATAGTATATTATAGTATATTATANNGGCATGTTATGGTATACTGTGGTATACAATGGTAAAGTATAATATAGTCTATCATCATATAACAACTCTTGATGCTATCTTCCTCAGCGTCTTTCTGGCTCGCCGGTCCGCCGCGGGGCTGCGGCAATGGAGGAGGCACCGTGAGATTCGACCGGTTTAGGGTTCAGTGTTTGGGGGTTTCGGGCGTATTGGAAGGGGATCTTGCAGTGTTTCGTGCAGTGTAGTGGTGTTGCAAGTCTGAACATAGGAATAGCGAGTTGAGACACATCTGGCGAGCTGCGGTAGCACTAGGCATTGTCGCTCGCGATTCGGTTCATTATAGCTGGTTGCTGGCTAGTTCTCTTCTTCCACTCACCCGTACTGAGCGTGTTTTTTGTTGGGCCCGGTGTCTGAGTCTACATGTGGAGTCTGTGTTTCTGGATATTCAGCGAAGTTTTTTTACATTTTCGTGAAGGTGTAGGCGCAGAGGTGCATGCTGTCGGAATAATGTCCGAGCATGAGAATGCATATGAAGACGGTAAATATGAATGTAAAAGTTCATGATTCATGAGCAACATGAGTATGAATTTTAAAGTACTTGTTGGTGTATGCATACATATATATATATATACATATATATATATATACATACGTATTTGTTCGTGCACATATCTGTACACATCCATCTATCCATTCATCCATCCATGCATACTTATATACATACGTACATACATACAT